ATGGGAGAACCTCTCCAGTCTGTGTAGGGAGTGTCTACACTGAAGTGCTACAGTGGCACAGCTGTGTCGCTGTAGTGTTTAAGTGTAGACTCTGCAGCTAAAGACCTGGAATCAAATTGTGTTGTCACTAGAGGGAGATGTCGTGCAACCTTGAGCCAGTCATTCATTCTATAACTGGTCTTACAGCTGTAAATCCTGAACAGGTGCAATATCCTGCTGATTGGGCCAGATTTCTCACTCACGTAACTCCAGAGTCAGTGGATTACACCAAGAGTCATTTGGACCATAAAGTTTTAAAATGTCCATGGGATATCTCAAGGCACCATTGCACTGGGAAGATTTGTACAACTGGCATGTAGCCCCCTCCAATTCCCTCCTGGCTACCCCCCACTCATTACTACTGGTGCTACTGGCCTTCTCATGGAAGAAGAGGAGAAGCAGCTACTACTTCCATTGCTGTCTCTTTGCCTGGCAGTGGGAGTTCTAGCATCCCTGGCTCATTTCTGGCCCAGTGCACCTTTCACAGATTCCTGCCCACCTGGAGGCAGAAAACCACTGGCACATGCTAGGGCAGTGGAATAGGTCAGTGATGGGAACATGGAGGCTGGCAATGGCTGTTTCTTCCCTCTGATAGCCATCTCATTTTCCTCCCTAGAAAGAGGAAGAGCAGCAGAACCCCCACCGCTTCCACTGCTTTTGATCACAAGATGTCTTCATAGAGGAAAGATGCCTGCGCCGTCGCTGTGTAGGCACCTGTGCACGCACGCTCCTCGCTATGGATCTGAGGCCACTGAAGTCAATGGATGTTAGGAGCCTAACTACCTTTGAGGGTCTGGGCCTGAGTGTGCATAAAGCACAACAGCTAGCCAGTACAGGTGGGCAAAAGACATTCAAGTGCCAGGAGCGAGTATGGTGGCAGTTACAATAGGATGAGGAGAATTATAAATATGACTCAACAGTGTCACACTGTTGCAAAAAAAGCAAACATCATTCTGAGATGTATTATCAGGAGTGTTGTAAGCAAGACACGAGAAGTAATTCTCCCGCTCTACTCCGCGCTGATTAGCCCTCAACTGGAGTACTGTATCCAGTTCTGGGCGCCACATTTCAAGAAAGATGTGGACAAATTGGAGAAAGTCCAGAGGAGAGCAACAAAAATTATTAAAGATCTAGAAAACATGACCTATGAGAAAAGATTGAAAAAATTGGGTTTGTTTAGTCTGGAGAAGTACATAAAAGGTTGTTACAAGAAGGAGGGAGACAAATTGTTTTCCTTAACCTCTGAAGATAGGACAAGAAGCAATTGGCTTAAATTACAAGAAGGGAAGTTTAGGTTGGTGTAGCGGGATAGTCACCCTGCTCATGCCCTGAAGGGCTTAAAACAGCCCTGGGAGAGGGCTGGGGTGGGGGAAAAGCTAGACTGATTGTGGGAAGCAGCCACAGGTGGGGCCACGCCCCAATCAGGCCATGGCTGGCCCTATAAGAGGGCTGAGGGCCGAAGATTGGAAGACACTCTCTCTCTAGCTTCAGAGAGAGAAGGACCTGGCTGCCTGGGAGCTGAGAAGAGGATCTAGGGTGGAGTAGTGCTGGAGAAGGGCAGAGGGAGCTGGGGAGCTCCAACCTAGCAAAACCCCAGGCTGCAGGCCTAGTTAAAGGCCTACAAAAGGGTACTGGGGCTGCAGAGAGGCAGCCCAGAGATAGGCAAAGGCAGCAGGTCCTAACCCCATTGCCGATGATGAGTGGTTTACAGACTGCAGTTAGGGTGACCAGACAGCAAATGTGAAAAATCGGGACAGGGGGTGGGGGTAATAGGAGCCTATATAAGAAAAAGACCCAAAAATCGGGACTGTCCCTATAAAATCGGGACATCTGATCACCCTAACTGCAGTCTGCCCCAGGGAGTTGGGGCTAGATGATGACTGGCAGTAGCCACTGAGGCAAGGTGGGTTTAGAGGTTAGGGATTTCCCTGGGAGGGGAGACCCAGAGCAAGGGGGTACTGTGGTGGGCAGAACCCCTGGGCAAAGAGCACCGGGGTCTGGGAGGGACACAGGGCCAGTGGCAGGTGAGACACTGGCCTTCAGAGGGCGCTCTGGGCTGGAAAGAGCTAATTACCGAGATGACCAGTAGGAGGCGCCGTGCCACAGTTGGACATTAAGAAAAACTTCCTAACTGTCAGGGTGGTTAAGCACTGGAATAAATTGCCCCAGGGAGGTTGTGGAATCTTCATCATTGGAGATTTTTAAGAGCGGGTTAGACAAACACCTGTCAGGGATGGTCTAGATAATACTCATTCCTGCCATGAGTGCAGGGGAGTGGACTAGATGACCTCTCGAGGTCCCTTTCAGTCCTACAATTCTATGATTAAGGAGATCCATGATGTTAAGTCTTTATATACCATCAAGACTCAAGACACTGCCATCTTGTTTGAACGAGACTCCTTTCACTAATTAAAGTTTATTCTGCAATGGCCTAGCCCTTAACAGATGGTTTGATGCTATGATGGGCTTTAAGTCCTCATCCTATAAATCCACAATATGGGAGTGTGTAGGCGGAGCTCGCTGGGCTGAGGGGCTGAGCTCCTTTCCTCTGCCCCGCCCCACCCCCACCCCGGAGCTAACACCCAGCACCTTGCCCGTATTTTGCTTTAACGTTCTTATTTCACTGCAGCAAAGGGAGAAGTTTACAGCAAAGATGGAACCCCACAAAACAGAATTAGAAGGTGAAAGGAAGGGAGAAGGGAAAGGAAAAGACACCTCCATGACGAAACACACAAGTTTGTGGTCAATTCTGTGGAGCTTGCTCCTGGTTTACAGAGTAGCCCCCATGTGCTACTCCCCAGTGCAAACATGGGAACAGGTTATGTCCCTCGCTGCATTCCCTTATGCTGCTCTGGGCTACAAAGGAGGCAGAATTCCCCCAGAGCAGGGGCAATATAGGCCCAATGTAGGCAGCCCTGAGAGGTGCAGCACAGAATTTGGTCCTTAGGTTGCACGAGAACCCTCTCACCAGCTCTTTACTTCTCACATGGAGCACTGCAGAATGGCAATGTTCAAAAACAGGCCCTTTGGCCAAAACCCTGAACTGAGCCCAAATCGAGACTTTGAAGTTTCATTCAATGCTCTGTGTGTGGGAGGGAAGATGACTGAGTTTTCTATTCTGTGGTGCGTGTCTGTGAGAGAGATTCCACGGTGTATGTTTCAGTCATTTCACCCTTCTTTTCACCTCCTGGTTTCAACCAGAAGCAGAAGAACCAAAATGTCACGAGAGGAGCTAAGCCCTGGAGGGAATGTGGTCAAGTGGCTAGAACAGGGGACTGAGAGTTAGCAGGCCTGGCTTCTATGAGACTTTGAGCACATCATTTCATTTCTTTATGCTGCAGTCTTCTCCCCATCTATCTCCTGGGGATAACACCCACCTCTCTGGGGCATGACAGCTATAAAGCACTTAGAGGTCCTCAGCCAGAAAGTGCTCTAGAAGTGCAAAGCCATATTAGAATTGTGATTTGTAGAAATTTGGCAGGCTGTCCTCATCTGAGAGAGTACTCATCCTGAACACATGCCCAGGAAGGTAAAAAAGCCCACTGAGGAGGAGAGGAGCGCTCTCCTCCTCCCCCTGTCACACAATGCTTCATATCTCCTCCTCCCCCTGTCACACAATGCTTCATATCACTCATCATTCAGATCCTTCCCAAGACCCACATGGCTTGAAGCTGACAAGAAAAGAGGCAGCTGTTAATCATTTGGGGCCAGAGTGTCACACTTTTGCTCACAATGACTGTTACTCCATAAGTAGTGCCATTGACTTTAATGGGGCTACACATGGTGTAAGGTAGTGTTCAGCATAGGTAAAAGCACCACAAGCTTACTCTAGGTAGGAGTGTGGTTGGACAGCAAGATATTTTTGTGTTCTCTTGCGCCTGGAGGTAGCTAAGGCTCTTGCCACCTCTGTCTAGAGCTGGGCAAATAGCGTCTGATTTTTTTCAGTTCAGTGGCTGAACTGAAGTATCTTGAAAAAGAAATCATTTCAGATCAACCAGAAACAATGTTTTGTTTTTCTTGCCACAACAACCGCACAGCAAATTAGTTTCAGATCAAACGACACATTGTTTGACCCAGAAAGAAACTTTGTTTTTGAATGATTTGACCCTTTTGTTTAGAAATGTAGCTAGATTTAACAAAAAAAACCCACTTCATTTTGAAATGCAAAGTCAAATGGCTTGTTTCAAAAATATCAAAATGAACCATTTTGACTTTTTCAAAAGGGGTTTCCTCTTTCTTTTAGCTGAAACTATTTCACTGAATTCAGTTTTGGTCAACCCCAAACTGCATGTTTGGCAAAAAATATTTTGCCTAGCTCTATAGTTATAGCTTAATTCACAGCTAAACTGAATTAAGGCCACTTTAATTCTGAGTGAGAGCATCCACACAGGGGTTTAATGCAGTTAACTAATTCACTTTAAATTCAGATCTTTAGTTAATTCAGATTTACTTTCTTGAGTGTCCCTGTAGACAAGCCCTAAGGGTAAGTCTATACTACAGCCACACAGCTATGGTGCTGCAGTGCCATAAAATAATGCTTCCTACATCAATGGTAGGGGTTTCTGTCAATGTAGTTAATCCACCTCTCCAAGAGATGATAGCTAGGTTGATTGAAGAATTCTTCCGTCCACCTAACGGCATCTACTCCAGGGATTAGGTTGACCTAACCATAACACTCAGGGCATGAAATCTCACCACCCTGAGCGATGTAGTTGGTCAATCTAACTTTTAAGTGTAGATCAGGCCCAAGTATAGTAATAATACCAGTCCACTTCAGACACTTCAGAATTACTTAGATGAGGAAGAGACAAAAGACAAGAGCAATCATGAGAAGCAAGTATTCACCAAAGGCATCACCGGTTCTTAGCTCCAGAATATCAAGTAGCTACTGCCCTCTGTGATATTATCTACTGTCCAGAAAGCCCAGGACATTAGCAAAGACACATTGCTTTTCCTCCTACCTTTTTATTTTATCTCTCAATGCTGGTGTGTTTGGTGAGTAGAGATGCAGCAGTCTCTTCCCAGACGAACTGAAGACAGACAATCTGGTACCAATCACTTCCCTTTCAGTTTCCAGGATACCCCCTTAATTTTGTTGGAACAATTATTTTAAAAACAAACAGACAACTCCCAACTTCCCCTCTGCCTTGAGTTAGGGACTGAAGTTTCAGTAGAGGGTAATTTACTTTCCATTCTGGCAGCTCCCCACATATCTAACCAAACAGCATGAAACAATAAGCCCATCCATAAATCTTCCCAGCAACAGTGCATGTCATCCATTGCCTTTCCCCAGAAATGTATGGGTAAGTGAAATGTCAAAAGGGAAATGCAGTAAAATAGGATCATGGGAATAAATAACACGGGCTTCACTTTTTGTTTTCCCTTTCCTTTTCTTTCTCTTGTCTGACTTCCAGTCTCTTCTTTTAGCTACAGAATATTTTCTCTTTTACTTTTGCCTTTGCTATCTCCGCTCTTTGAGAAGCGTCATCTCTACTCCTCTCCTTCATTGTCTTTTCTTGTTTATTCCTCTGCTTTCTGTCCTGCCCAGCCAATCCTTCCTTTCTCTTTCCCCCTCTTTTCAGTTTTCTCCTCTTTGCTTGGTTCTCTCAACCCCCTCGCCACATAGTCTGTCCTCCCACTTTTCCATGTGCTCTATTGGATTGTTGCTAACTCTCACAATTTCATGGTAAGCCTCAGGATGTTTGGTGTTTCTTTTGAAGTCCCAGCTCCTGCATTCATGTGATAATAAGAGAATCTCAGCTTTCATTAAACAACCTTTCTAGCTCTTATGGTTTTGGAAAATGTGGGCCCTAAAGGCTCAAGCACCAGAAAGCAAATAAAAAGAACACAAACTTAATGATTTTTTTAAATAGTATTTTTAAGCCCCTTCCATGATTTTTGAATGCTGGGGTTGCAACACTGCTGTTGTCTCTCCCCATCTCCTTCCCCTTTGCTTTCTGCCTTGGCTATGGGGTCCACAGCTTTCTTCTATCTCCATTTCTTTTCCACTTCCCCCATAACTCCCCTGTCCCACCAGCAGTTTGATCCTTTCCCCTCTTACCCATATTAGTTTTCCTTGCCAGGTCCCTCCACTCTTTGCCTGCCCACCATCTTTCCCTTTCTTCAGCCAGTTGCACAACATTGTTTGGTGGGGCAGAGTGTGGTATGGGCTAATGAGCAAACTTCTATTCTTATCAGGAGTGCTATGGGATATTTAATGGCAGGATAGGGCCTTCTTTTATATCGTCTCATCCAAAACACCTACATGCAGTAAACTGTTTGGAGTATGGGCCTCAGAAGGATGGAAGGTTAACACAGCCCTACCCACAGCAGCTGAATTCTGTGTAGCTCCTTGATTGGCACAACTCAGACACATGCAAGCAAAACCAACACACTTTCTCTAGGGCCCCTGGGGCTTGTTCTACTTTTTGAATAATTCCCTTCCTCCCTATGTGTTTGCTTTTTTCCTTTGCAACTCAATGCTCTTACTTGGACTCACATGATGCGATGACACCTCTCCCACCCCAAATCCTTGCCTAGCCTCTAACTGAGGTGATAGACCTGCCTACTTTTCCAAAAGAAAAAAAATAATCAGTGTGACACCCAGAGCCCAGTCCTCTGCTGGCTTGATTCCTGTGAAGTCAAGGAAGTTATGGCAGCAGACCATCTGGCCCACCTCTATATCAGGCTTGTCTAGATAGACAATATTCTTTAAAAGATCTCAGTTCAACCAAAAAGTTGGACTGCCATGGACAAACTTCAGCTAGAGACCAATTTCAAACACCTCCTTTAAAAATGCATGATCATAAATAGAACAAAAACTGCACCGAGAATTCAAAAATAATTTAAACCAATCTTGTGTGAGATTCACACTGTGTTAGGCCAGGGTGTGAGTGGCCTGATCTAGGGGTCAGCATTGGGCATAGTCCAAGGAGTCAGGCCAGGTTGGAACATCAGGAGATCAGAATCTAGAGGCAAACCAGAGGGCAGGGAATCAGGAGTCAGTTACAGTAACTCCTCACTTAACGTTGTAGTTATGTTCCTGAAAAATGCGACTTTAAGCGAAATGATGTTAAGTGAATCCAATTTCCCCATTAGAATTAATGTAAATGAGGGGGTTAGGTTCCAGGGAAATTTTTTTCAGCAGACAAAAGAATATATATATACACCTCTACCCCAATATAATGCTGTCTTCGGGAGGCAAAAAATCTTACTGCGTTATAGGTGAAACCACGTTATATCAAACTTGCTTTGATCCGCTGGAGTGCGCAGTCCCGCCCCCCCGAAGCGCTGCTTTACCGCGTTATATCCGAATTCATGTTATATCAGGTCGCGTTATATCGGAGTAGAGGTATGTATATATATACACAGACACACACATACAGAGTATAAGTTTTAAACAAACAATTTAATATGGTATACAGGGATGATGATTGTGAAGCTTGGTTGAGGTGGAGGAGTCAGAGGGTGGGATATTTCCAGGGAATGCCTTACTGCTAAATGATGAACTAGCAATTGGCTGAGCCCTCAAGGGTTAACTTTCACACTCTACCGTACAAGGCAGCAGGAAAGGAGGGAGGGCAGACAGAGACACAAACCCTGTGTGTGTGTGTGAGAGAGAGATATGCATTTCCCCTTTAAGATCAGAAGTACACTGCCTTGTTAATTAGATCAGCAAGCTGAGACTGGACCGCAGCTGCAGCTGCTGCTGCGTGGAAGTTCCCTCTGTCGTGTGTCCCTCCTGCTTTATGGAAGATGGGGTAAGCGGGGTGCAGGAGCAGGGGGGAGGGGGACACCCTGACATTAGCCCCCCTCTACCTCCTCCCCTCACAGCAAGCAGGAGTCTCTGGGAGCAGCTCCAAGACAGAGGGCAGGATCAGCATATGGCAGTGGTGGGAGGGACAGCTGCAATTGCTAGCCTGCTGGGCATCTGCTGCACAGGGAACTTAGGGGAGCGGGGAGCTGATAGGGGAAGCTGTTAGGGGGGCTGTCGGTCCACCCTGGTTCCAAGCCCCCACCAGCTAGCTCCACCGGGCTGCTCTTCCTGCAAGCAGTGGACAAAGCAAGCGGCTGCAAATGACGTTAGAAGGGAGCATTGCACAACTTTAAATGAGCATGTTCCCTAACTGATCAGCAACGTAACAACGAAACAACGTTAACCAGGATGACTTTAAGTGAGGAGTTACTGTACCAAGCGTAAGGATATCAGGGTCAGGCAACTGAACCAGAGGCCACCGTTTACCAAAAGTCAGGCTGGCTTGGGATCAGAAGGCAGGAAGAAGTAATCACTAGACCAGCAGTGCACAGCAGGGTAAAGCCCAGCTGTAGAGAGAGTTTCCTGTAGCCTCCTCTGTCTTAAATAGGGGTTGCAGCCCAATCAGGAGCCTTGGAGCGCACCCAATCAGAGCATAGGGGAAGGGCTTGGAGTCCAGTTGGGCTTCATGGACTCAAGTCCCAGCCCCAGCTACCATCTGTGAGCTGCTGGCCAGAGTATTGGTGTGCGATAACTCACCTCCAGGGACCTGGGTTCACACCCCATGGGGCCTGACACAGTGAAAAGAAAACAGGAATCAATTCCCCATTTTAACCCCTTTTCAGGACGTGTAACCCTAGCTGTGGAAATGTGATCAAGTGCTTTCGTAACATCCATACTATTCCTGTCCCAGGTGGGCACTAGAATGGGACACTGAATTGAAATTGTTACTTTTTTTGCACTTTCTAGTACTCCACAGGATGGATGGTGAGACCTTTCTGTGATTATTAACACTTTCACTTTTTGTTTATCAATCACATTAGTGGAATGGCTTGCAAACTTGAGAAGCTGTTCATGGAATTGCACAGAGACACAGACAGGGACTTAGACCCAACATAGTCATTTGAGCAGCATAAAGTTAAGGTCACCATTGAAAGGTAGGATAGGAATCTTGAAAACATCATGGAAAGGCAGGACTGGTTCATGCCAAGGAAATGGAATGTATAAGGAACAAGAGGGAGTTGCAAATGCAGGACAGTTCCAAAGGCCAATGTTTACTAAATATTTAAAGGCCCAAGAAAATCTGACTGCTGCATTGACCCATGCAGCGGACTAAGTACTGGTACCTCTTGGCCTGGCCCATGGTGTCAGTCAGGACATCAGTAGTAGTTGTTGCACTGCTCCCTACTCTTCAGCTTCCCCATAGCTTTTCCCAGATACCCAATCCCTTGGTGAGATTCTGGAAAGAAAAGGATGTTTCCAACAGGTGGCAGATGCACGGCCTTGACCCATTCATTCCCCTCAGGTTCTTCCATGCCTGGATGAGGTCCCACAATCACACCTGAACTGACCTCTCAAGCATCAGTGTGGCACTGTAAATTTAAAGGCAAATCTTCCCTTACAGATGTGCATACTGTGCCAAGAATGTGAGGGGATTGTGAAGTACAAATCTTCTAGGAAGGACGAATCAATGCCAAAGTCTCCACTTGAGGCAAAACATCTCTCAGCCAAAAATATCACCATGCTCATGTTCTACAAGCATTTAAATGGGTCTTAATTTATTTTAAATGGGCAGTATTCTACCAACTCAGCTATATCATTTTAGGGCCATCATTTCAATTTAAAATCTCTTTGCTTTCCTGTAAGTCTTTCAATTCTGCCTTCTGCTTATCAACTATCTTGGACTTTATGGCTCCCTGGGCTCAGAGACATGCTTGTAATTACGATGTGTTTTTTTCCCCTCCCTAATCTCAGGAAATCTGGTTCTGTTGAGGATTTCTCAACACATTCGTCATCTGCTGGAATAATGTAATATTCTGTTTTATTTCTTTATAGCTGCAGGGGTGGAATTATAATGCTATACACTAATACATTGGCAAACTGATTTATTTTGTTTTCCCTGAACTACAGATCTTGGAGCATGGATCTCAAACAGGAACCTTGTATAAACTGGCTTCTGGTGCTAAAGATGTCCATATAAACGGTAACTAATGGGCGAGAGAATAAATCATCTAAACTCTGGGTAGACATTGTGGAGTGTCTTTATTCTCCTGGAAAAGATTAATCAGTCAGTCACTCCTAGTGCCTAGTTAGCAGAACAGAAAAGGGTAACATGTCCCCTTAGCATTTTGGTAAAAGAGAATTTACTTTTTCATTTAAATGGGGGGCGAAGGGGAAGTGTTTCTATCCCTTCTCATTGCTTGCTAT